GTAGCGTGACAAGAGTTTGAGGCATAAAGCGTGACATGATTTCATAATGAGGTCAATATTATGTCTTCCTTTATTTTTTTTGTTTACAAAAATTTTATATAGAGCTTTGTTTAATTCATTTGAGAATCAATGAGAAGCAGTTGGTGAAATCATTAAGGGGTTTCCTGACAGAGTTCCGAGAAACTAAAAAGATTGAAATCATCAAGATGGTTCTTCGTCGATCCTTCACTTTTACAGTTGGGGAGCGATTGCGTAAATATTCGTATTATAATTAACCTTAAAGATTGTCAACGGGAACAGTTACGTCACATCAACAGATAACAAAAATCAAAACCTGAAGTAAGGTTCCTGACGAGAGAAAATGAAAGACATTAAGGTGAACAAAGCCTTCCCTGACAACAGATTTCTTAATTCGCTATAGACCATCAAGTATTACGTTCGTCTGATAAGGAACTACTGGTGCAGTCCCGCTGCCAACTTAAGACGTATGGGGAGCGAGCATTTTCCTTCATTGCTCTAAAACTGCGGAATACCCTCCCATTAAGTGTAAAACGTTGCGAGTCAGCAGAATCTTTTTAAATCTACTCTTAAGACGTACCTTTTTAGGAATTATTTTGAATTGTAAGAATCAATGACTGTTTTTTAGGCTTTTTTCTCAATGCTACATCCACTGTTGTGAAGTGTTGTTGTTTCGGTAGAGAAACAGCGCTTATAAGAAGATTATTATTATTATTATCATTATTACTATTGTTATGGGCAGTAAAACGTAAGGATGTGTCATGAAAGTATTCAAAAGAATTAACTTAGGATTATGTAATGCATTCTTTTACTATGTTGGGTTATGTCTTGTGTGTGGTATTTGTATCTATCACGTAATTCGTATTCTTTACTTGTGTAATTAACCTTTATTCTCTATATTCAATAATTTTCTTCCCTTTCTTTCTCGCACCTTGCATCCGTATATAATGAAGGATTTGGGCACGGTTACAGAGAAGTGAGGTGAAGGTTTGTGAGTTACGAGCGAAGAGCGTGGAAAAATTTGAGGGAACGGAGACTCAGCACAATATCATTTCTGACAAATTGATTCGGTAAAATCGTTCCACTCCACGGTAGAAAACCATTTTCCGGGGAACGGGTGTGCAAAGAATCTACCAGACTGGGAGCTAAAGGAAGAAGAGACAGTAAGTGATTCAACAACAAGTCTGAGCGAGTCAAGTTACGAGAAGTAAAAAGTTGAAACTGCAAAGTTTTCAGAAGACGAAGCAAAGTTGAAACGAAGGAAACGAGCAAAGTTGAAAACTGCTGAGACGGGAACCTGGTTGGATAAACGGGAGTTTGGTTTGGCAAGGCATCGTTTGTTGGTGGAGGGTGGTGATTTGTGGACAAGACAGGAACACTGACGCGGGCGTAAGGTGAAACCTAATCGAACTGAACTGAAAAAAGAAAGCCCTGCCTTTTTATCTTAATAAATACTCTTGTAAATATAGTTAGCACATTCTGGTTTTGATTATTACGTTCTTGTAAACACTTGTAAAGTAATTTAGGTAGATAATTTAGCAATTTAGTTTTATCATATTATTGTAATTAGGGTAAATAATTCAGTTTATTGTTTTTTTTTTGTTGTTTGTAATTGTTAATTACCATATCGTCTTACTTAGAGTAATAAATATTTCTAGGCCTACGTTTAGTTGTGTTGTGGCGTTTCTTCTCGGGCTTGTTTATGCTTCGTGTTTTGAGTATGTTGGAGGGCGCCCACCTTTGTGGCGCGGATTCCTCACCGGCAGGATGCCTCCTTAAATGGCGGACATTGACAAAGCACAATCGCGTAGCTTGTTATTACCATAGCCTAGAATAATTAGTAAACTAAAGAAATTTTCGAATGATATAAGAAACCCAAAAAGCTGTAAATTGTGTGGGTAAAAGTTTGGCCAGTTCATAGGTCCTACGCAGTGCGACCTTTGAAACTCCGTGCAATGTTAAGGGTACTTGAGATGACTGCCTTTTACATATCCAGCAAGATCCTATCTGCCCTGACGCCTACCAGTTCTTTAATACCATCTAGTGTCTCTCTTACGTCCCCGAGGACATCGATGATGATGTTGTGCAGTGCAATGTTGTAGTGTGGGTACTGCTGTCACATCTCCCATCTAAGCGGAGCATAATTCGAGGTTTTCCCTTCTTCCTTCTGTTTCCTGTCTGCCATCGACGGGCAACTCATCTCTAGTAGTAGCACCTTCTTCTTCTGCTTATCCACAACTCTTCCATCGATGCGGTTTGCTCTTGCTTCCGTCTTCTCTGCATACAGTGGCACATCCCAGAAGGCGCTGGCTCGATCATTCTTGTACTCTGGCTTTGGTGTTTCAGGCGAGCACCAAAATGGCGCACTTTCTATTAGGCCCATATCACAGAGCAGATCGAAGAATAGAACTTTGAGGGCTGCGTCGTGTCTGGTGTTGTACTTGCTCTGCGCTAATGCGCCACATCCACTCCAAACATGGGGGACGCTCTCCACAGCTTTTCCGCACATACGACAGTTGACGTCTGTGTTGTCGCTTGTCTTTGTCTTCTACTGTTGGTATATCTTAGTGGGGAGTAACTGTTGGTATAGTTCGTAAACTCCAGCTACTGTGTGCATGGGCGCAGTTTACCAGCGGCGTAGCCTACTGAAACAGCCAATCACATCCGCATCATCCCATCTTGCTTTAATCAACTTCCCTTGCCATTTCTGTTGGCGTACCTCCTCAGTCCTACTTTCTTCTTCCTTGATACTCATCGTAGCCCCGACTTTCTCTACAGGTAACTTTTCTCCTTCTTCGTTGTTAGCCATTGGGTACGGGTAGCTTNGGCATTCCTTACTCCCTTCATAATCCTCTCTAACTTCGCTTCTGATGCTGCGTAAATCTTGAGGTCATCAATATACAGCAAGTCGGTGATCTTTGCACTGATTGGTTTAGAAAGGCGGTAACCCTCACTAGCTTTTAATTTCCAGGCTATCGGGTTAAGGCACAAAGTGAACAGCCGAGGGCATAATGCGTCACCTTGGGGAAGACCCTTCCTGAAAGCTATTCGTTCCGAAGTCTCAACTCCCTGCTTCGTTACTGCCGTGATCTTAGTGTTCCACCTTCCACAAAGTCTAGCTATGAGGTTTCCAATCCAAGTTGGGAAGCGATGCAGTGCGAACATTTCTTTGAGCCATTTATGATCTACCGAATCATAAGCCTTCCGTACGTCGACCCATGCCATGCTGAGGTTCCTGCGCCCTCGCTGGCTGTCCTGACATACCATTCGATCGACTAACAAGTTATCCATTGTTCCACTATAGTTCTCTTTCGCTCCCCGCTGTTCCCCCTCCATGAGTCCATATGTGTCGAGATGTTGATCAACCGGTTTCAGTAAGCACGATGAAAACCATTTGTACATGGTATTGAGGCAGGTTATATTATTATTATTATTATTATTATTATTATTACTATTATTGTTATTGTTATTTCCGTGGATCATGGGCCGTGCAGGATCACTCTGTCGGCCTTGTTCCCACGAGCAAATGTGAACTGAGAAAAAAATTACGTTTCACTGAGCAGACGAGTGAACGAGCAGAGTCACCACAAAAACAAGTGACTACCTTACTCAGGGAATCATATTGACTTGTTATAATTAGGTTCCATTTACTTGCTTGATTGGTATTATAGTATGGGTCATTCTGTACTTCTTGTCCTATAGCCTTCGATCAGCATATTGTTTAAATATAAAACATGTATATTTGCCATTTGCGCGTGGACTTTTTTCCATTAAAAGTTATATTGTAGTACCTGTTAACGTAAACAACAGTTATTAAGTGGCAGCTGTTTTTCAAAATCATAATTTTTCACAAATTTCCCTTGACCCGTGACGTATTGTTATTCGATGCTTCCTTGCTAAACTAATTTTCGGTAAATTCCTAAAATGATAACGACATTGTTTATATCGGTCAGCTCAATAACCAATGAGAGCTTAAACGTAAAGGATTAGGGGGTTCCCCGGCAGATTTCTGAGAAATCGAAAGAACTCAAACATGCTTTACATTGTTTCTTTCGGTCAGCTCAAAAACCAATGAGAGGTTAAAACGTGTAGGATGAGGGGGTTCCCCGGCCGATTTCTCAGTGAAACCGAAAGAACCCAGATATGCTGAAGTTGCATTTCCCACTTGGATAACGAACCTCGTACGTTAGACTCCTTTTGGAATATTTCATTCGAGATAAGACCTCTTATCAGCAAACTATCGAGGGCAATATTAGAGACTAAACAAGGAAAAGAAACGAAGTATTAGGTCTTCTTCTTAATAGCAATGAACCGATCGATCAAGTCGCATTGGAAGGCAGGACTTCTGATTCTGTTCTTGGTGGCTGCTGGCCTTGTTGTGGCATTTGAATTGATATCACCGCACAAAAAATCTCTCGAAAATAAAGGTGAGTACAGGAAACTATTTATCGCTAACTAAGACATTTAATTCCGTACAGAAATATACAGCAATCGCAGGCAAAATTTTGCAAGTCCTGCAGCATAAATCTCTTAAATATAGCTGTTGGCCTGAGAGTTGCTCCACATTTTAACACAAATTAACAAGCTTGTTCGCCAATACTTTGTTTCAGTAATTACCTTTTATTTGATGTTTGTCCAAGTTTTAATCTAATTGTTAGAGTTACGAACAGAACAGCGATGGATATTAGCAGTCTTAGCTTATTTTCGTTGTGAACTTTAGAACGAGTATATGCTTAGTTTGATCGTTTTCACTGTTACGCACCAAGAGAAAGCTATTCAGTGGATAAGGTTAAGAAATTGAAATTGTATAGACGATAGGAAACACTTTTCCAAGTTCATGTCCCATTGTTTTCCCAAACTTAAGATATTCGTCGAAATGTTTTGCGCAAATTCATAGAGCCCAGAATGGAACCACTTTGTTGGCGGCTGGAAGATAGTGTAAACTCGGCCTGGAACTTACTTTGGCTATCTAGCCCACTGATAATCTAAACTAAACCAACAAAACATGTAGAAAA